GGATGCCGGACCCCCCCTTACTTGGCTTCGATTATTTTCAGGATCTTTAGGAAAGGGACACTTTCATCTCTGTTTAATTAACTGCCTTGGGGGAATCTGATCCACAACCCTTTGCTTTCAAATTCTGGACCTTCCTTCTTAAACCAATTCCCCAAATCCAGTCTGATTTCCTCTCCTGCCATGTATTGGATACTATGAACCAGGTTGTGGACTGCCACTCTCTTGGTGGACCAAGTTCTGCCTGCAGATGTCTCTTCTCCCCCAGTTTTCAAAGGGATGCTTTCTTGGTGACTCCACTAATCACTGCCTATCCAACCCCATCTCTTTCATGCTTCCCATTTTCCAATCATCTTTTCTCCATCCCTTGGCCCTGGCTGTTGCTGCCTTCTGCCGGGTTTAGTTTTATACTTGTCCTAATGCTTACCCATTTTTTCAGCTATTACCTTGGGTTCTGGCCTTGACTGGAGACACTCTTTGTTGTATCCTTTTGGTGTTACCCCTCTGGCTTGCTTAATCTTGGTTCATTCTTCTATTCCACCTAACAACCTCTTCCCCTGTCAATTATACACTGTTGCTTCAATATCTCTTTTTCCATCACCGGATCTTGTCCCTCCATCTTCGTGTTTAGATTAATCTAGTCATCACCTATTGAATTGAACTTTCCCATCTGCTAGGACCTGCAGGGGTGGGGGGACATTGGTCCATCCATTAAGACTTTTCATCTAATCATTCTACTGCTGGACATCTCCCTTCCCTTTACTAGAAAGTTCTACTGGTTCAGCTGCCTCCAACTTTGCCAGCCTTAGTTAGCTGGTAGTGCCTCCTAGGGGTACACTTATTTCCTAAAATTATGCATCAAGCGTGTTAATGGAAAATGCTTATACCATTCACCCTGGCTCCAAATATGCCCTCTGTTGAGATGGGGTGCTCTGCAAGACCACTTGAGGTGACCTCATGGTATATTCTTATATCTGTTTACTGCTATATCTGTCTACTGGAGACAGTGAAAGACCTTTCCAGCTGGGGCAGGACTGATAGGGTCTTCCCACTGTGAATTCCTCCTCCCTCTTTTCTTTGAGTGGAGCAAGAAAGACTCTTGCTACTTCCTAGCTGCTGAGGTGGTGGACCATGGAAAACCCTCACTGTTTGGGACCTAACAACCGGGACTAAACAAGGGATGCTAATCAGTGGAATGTGAGGTGTAGTGCAGGTCACCCCTCATATACTTATACCAACAAAATACCAGAATCATTCTATACAATACTGTGCCCTCCTCCTTGAGTCTGCATCTGTTCAGTTGAGTTGAGATGAGCATATCACAAAACTGTGGCCTCCTCCTGCAGCATGCAACTATTCACGAGAGTCAAGGTGACCACACTCATTATACACATGTGCCCTTCTCATGCAATCATATCCTGTTCAGTTGAGTGGAGCACTTACTAACAAATCGTGCCTTCTTCTTGCAGTGGGTGACTGTCCACTCAAATCAGTGCATGTACTCTTCTTATTACATACTCTATGTCATAACTTCATGCCCTCCTTTTACAGCTGGTATTGGTCCAGCAGCCTAACAGTAGGGTTGAGGCAAACACGTACTAACCTATCTTGCCCTCCATCCGGAGCTGCTGTTGGTCCGAGAGTCTGACGGTAGAGTTGACGGGAGACACACCAACATTACACATTCTGTTCTGTGTCATGAATTCTGTGCACTCTCACAGCTGGTATTGGTCCAAGAGTCTGACAGTAGAATTGAGAAGAACATGCACAAATAATTCCTGTGCCCTCCTCCTGTAGCTGGTGTTGGGCCAGTATGTCTGACAGATGAGTTGAGGTGAGCACTAGGTACAGTCTGAATGCATCCCAATCACACAACACATATTGGCTCTCTGACCTCTTGTATGCAAGTACTCGGGTGGCCATGTTCTTATTTTGCCCATATCCACAACACATGGGGCTTGTTTGCCTCCTCCTACATCCTAATCTTGGTAAAGCATATACCTTGGATGAGATGAGGTTTTCCTTGAGTGTTCTTCTATTGAGCCCCTTCCATCAGGAGCCACATTCCATGGGTTTCCTTTGGACACTTTCTGAAGGGAGCTCATTTAGGTAACTTCTGTACCAGTCCATACACCATATCGAGCTTTTGGTGTGAAGACGTGTGTATTGCCTCAAAAGTTAACATTTTCCTTACCTGAAAATGTATTTCTGATAGATACTCACCTCTTCACACCCTTCCTCCCCATTTCCGGTGCAACTTAGTATTCATTGCTTTCTCATAGAATTAAGATTACAAGAGCAAAATCATAGAGAGAGCTAGTGTGCAGGAAGGCTGTGTTGCCTTCCTATTGCTGGAGGACTTTTGCTGTATAATAACATCATTATGCCGTAGTGCAATTCACAGGAAATCTCGTGAGCTTAGGTGGGAGTTGCCTGAAGGCTACTGGCAGGTAAATCTCTAAGGCATATGCATGCAGAAGATAGCTTTCCATGTGAAGAGGTGAGTAACTATTGGAAATATATTTTCAGATAAAGAAATGTTAACTTCAGAGCAAGTGTGGGAGTTTTACAGCTATAATCTTGAATGCTAGTCTGTTGGCCATAAATGTATATATTCTAAACACCTTTATGTTAAATGTATGTGAGTAATAATTAAGGTATTTATTAATGATGCTTTTATAATATGAAAGTAATACAGACACATGCATTTCATGTTAGTGTATATTGAAGCCCTATATTTTAGAGTAAGTTTTATGTTAATAATGGCATGAGAAAAATGGCATAAAAATACAAAAATATCTGGTAAGTAACTTCTATGATTCATTATTATGAGACTAGTGTTATCTGAAAATAAAACAAAATTTTAAATTTAGGCATGTGAACACTTGATCAACATATTTTTAGTATGCTATGGCATCCCATAATGCCAGATGTACAGTACTTCATAATGACAGATAAGCTATGAATACCAGAAGTTAATTATTTCATTTGGTCATGATTGAAAAGGTTAAACCTAATGTAGTTATAACATACACAGATTTTAAAATTACACGTGTTTTTACATTAATGCAGATGTACAGTTTGACTGTGAATCATATAATATGATCTTTATTACTGATGTTCAGTTTTATATGTTTGTACTTCTTTAGAGATACTCGACTTTGGTTATCCCCAAAACACAGATACAGGAATTTTGAAAACTTTCATTACGCAACAGGGGGTGAAATCACAAACAAAAGAGGAACAGAGTCAAATAACATCTCAAGTAACAGGACAGATAGGATGGCGACGAGAGGGAATCAAATATAGACGTAATGAATTATTCCTTGATCTTTTGGAATATGTGAACTTACTTATGTCGCCCCAAGGTAAAAATTTGTTCAATATTATATTGTACCTTCTATTTTTAAATAATAAAAATTCATCAATATATAAAACAAATACTTATCTGTATGGTAAAAAAATAATTTGTTGAACAGAATAATAATTTAAATTTTAAGAATTGTATATTTCTTCTAGTATCAGAAGTGTTGTGCCAAAATTCTGGGCCTTCTGCAATGGATTTAATTGTTTATACTTTCAATACGTGCATTTGTTGTGCAAGTGGGTAATTTGTCTTACCTATTTATAAGCAAATCTGTTCAATAAGGCATCTATCAATAATCTAAAGTTATTATGGCTTTCACCTGGGAGATTGCTTAATGTTGTTAACCTTCTCACTATGGTTTCAATGGAATACACTACCTTGTGACCATCAGAGTTTCCATACTATAACTTGTAATGTTTTGTGTATCTTCACAAAATATTTAAAGCTTTAGTAAACATTAAAGTCCTTTTTTTTTGTTCACAGAATATTAGAATTTGTAATGAAGTATTTTTTTCTAAAAATCTGTCCATGAATACGTGTAGTCAGAGTGTTGATGTCTCCAAGTGCTAAGTGATTTTCGTATTAAGATTAAAAATAATTTTCTTCATTTGAAAATTATTGAATTTCATTTGCATAACCTCTAAAAAATCCTAAATAAACATCAAACTTTTTTTTTGTCAGTAAGGCTATATTTCATCCATAATTTTCTCTACCCTAACTCTGTGTGGACATGTTTGATTTGACTGACCTAGTAATCACCATACAAAATACGAAATAAATCTGAATTAACCCTTTTGTTCTAGAATGACTGTAGATTGTATATAAGAAACTACAATTGTTTATGTTAATTAACTTAACCCTTTCGTATTGGTGTTCTTCAATTGGCAGGAGGCCAACTGGGGAAAGATACTTGTGCAACAATACATACAGTAATTCTGAGCTTTTATAATATATCCTCACAAAAATTGGTAAGATGTTATTAAATATTATAAGTATCTTGTACACAAAGAATGACATTTTAATTAAGTCTGTACTAAAAATATGTTATTTATCTATTGTAGTTATTTGCACTCAAACTCTTAAGTACTTTGAGTGCAAGGTGATTAAAAATACTTTTCTTCATCTTAACGTTTTTTAGTTTTATATACATAACGTCTAGAACCTCCTAAATGAATATCAAAGTTTTTTGAAGTAAATGTGTATATTTTATTTTTCACTTTCTCTACCATATCACTAACTGTGGATATTATCATCAACATACAGTGCAATGAAATGTTTGAAATTAAGAAATAGAAAAATGTACATACCTTCTAATTTTTTGTAGAATATCCATAAAGATCTTTTGGTTATATTTGTAATTTCAGGTCTTTTTCCTTTTCTCATATAGTTAATTGTTAACCCTTTCACTGCAGCTGGGACATGTGTTTCCCAGTGATCCCACCCCCCTCACACTGCAGCTGGGACATGTGTTTCCCAGTGATCCCACCCCCTCACACTGCAGCTGGGACATGTGTTTCCTAGCGCTCCCACCCCACTCACACTGCATCTGGGACAAATGTTTCCCAGTGATCCCACCCCCCTCACACTGCAGCTGGGACATGTGTTTCCCAGTGCTCCCACCCCCCTCATACTGCAGCTGGGAGATGTGTTTCCCAGTGCTCCCACCCCCCTAACACTGCATCTGGGACAAATGTTTCCCATTGTCATTCAAAATTGCCATGCATAACGTATGAGAATAAAATGAGTTGGAAAGTATTTATTGGCATCCCACCTAATGTTGATATATGGATTCCCTAAATGTTTTCCACTCAGCCCTTCAGTACCCAACAAGATACCTAAGCAGAATGTATGACAGCTGCATTCCAACCATGTTCGTATCACTAGAACAGTGAGTAGTAACCCTAATTACTACATAAATATGCTCGTTGTGCTTGACTCAGATAGCTTAGAAGATAGTGAAAGTAAGTCAAGTGGTGTTCAAATGTGTGATGATGAAGAGGCAATGAGACCAGACGATGCTAGCTGTCCATCTAGTGATGATAGTCAAGATGATGAACTTGGACCCAGCAGAGGAAGGTGTAAACAGCATCGACATTGGGAAACATTTGTCCCAGTTGCAGTGTGAAGTGGTGGCAGCACTGGGAAATATATGTCCCAGCCGCAGTGAATGGGTTAATGTTTTATTTTATTTTCCTGTTTCAACGTTTATTATTCATCTTGACACAAGTCAACTGTTTTCTCATGGCATGTTACAGTGTCTGGCAGTGATGTGCAAACCTTTGGCAACATTTTCGTGCACCGCGTAATATCATAAGACCTAAGAACTGACACAAAATATGATGTATATTTAATAAATGCTTAAACCTTTAAATTATGCATTTTAAAACATAAATAATACATAATTTAAAACTAGAATATAAAAGTAAAACCTAAATGTAATGTAACTGTTTCTAACTATAATATATTTAGGTAAGAAGCAACTGTAAGTGCTATCATGGACAAATCAGCCAACAATACTACTGGCAGTTACATCTACCTGATAACAACAATTGAGTTTCAATTTCAAAATAACTATTTGCTGAATTATAGTGTAAAAAGAGCACTTTCTAATGGTTATAAACGTTTGCATTAAATAAGTACATATGATTTGTAAATCTCAAGGCTAAGTGTAGAAGGTGGGTGTGGCACATATCGGGGGTTGGTAAAATTTATCTTGTTTCAACTGAACTCAATCAAAGAAAATTGGAACATACATGTAAGCAGCACAGTAAGTGTAGTTTTTGTCTAGACATACATCTACATACACTGTAGTTTGCTGGTTGAAGTTAGAGATTGTGAAAGTTCAGATTTATGAATGCTAATGTGTCACGTGACAACAAATCTGAAGTTTAAGTATTTTTTCAAATAAGGGATTAAAACTTAGATATATACATACATTGATAATAAGTTTTAAATTACATTTTGAAAGTAACTCGGTGACTTGCACAGAAAGGAGTTTAAATGGGGTGCCTGTGCTGAAAGGGTTAACTCTCTCACAACAAGGTCAATCGATTTGACCAACCAATGGACTTTAAATGGGGTGCCTGTGCTGAAAGGGTTAACTCTCTCACAACAAGGTCAATCAATTTGACCGACCAAAGGAGTTTAAATGGGGTGTCTGTGCTAAAAGGGTTAACTCTCTCACAACAAGGTCAATCGATTTGACCGACCAAAGGAGTTTAAATGGGGTGTCTGTGTTGAAAGGGTTAACTCTCTCACAACAAGGTCAATCGATTTGACCGACCAAAGGAGTTTAAATGGGGTGTCTGTGTTGAAAGGGTTAACTCTCTCACAAGAAGATCAATTGATTTGACCGACCTCATAACCATTTTGTACTCATCATAGTTTCCATACTATAACCTTTATTACGATATGTATATCTTCACAAAATTTCTCAGACTTTTAGTAAACATTAAAAGTCTTTTATACACAAAAAATCAGATTTTTAAATGAAATATTTAGAATACTACAGATTTGCCCAGGAATATATATATATATATATATATGGTTCTTTTTTTTTTACTGATCTGAGTGCAAAGTGATTTCCATGTTAAGATTAATGATAATTTTCTTCATCTCAGAAACTTCAAATTTGATTTGTGTAATCTCTAAAGCCTCCTTAATAAATTTCAAACTTTTTTCAGTAAAACTATATTTTATCTGTTATTTTCTCTGCCCTAATTTTATACAAGTTTGGTCAATATGTCTAAATTACCTTTTTTTTTCTTTCTAGAATGACTTCAACTTGTAACATGAAACAACATATGTTTACCCTAAATAGCTTTAAACTGGCAACAGTATACATCTACTTATACTTAAATTTTATTGTTTTATTGCTCTGTGGACTGTCTTTAACTACTACTTGTACCGTAATAAGTTGTAAGTCACTTGATGAACATACAGCTAACATTATGCTAATGAATTACATTAACTTTATGACCCTCGGCTTCTAGTTTTATTAGTAGGTAATGTCGTTCTTGTCGTATATTATTACAAAAATAAAACTAGTGGGTCAAATTGTTTAAAATTTGACAAGAACTTTCCTAAAAGTGTAGTTTCAGAAAAATAAAATATTTAATTTTTCAACTATTTCTAATAAAAAAAAATTATTTATTTAATGTAGTTAGTTGCACTCGGATTCTGAATAGTTCACGTGCAAGATGATTTTTATATGAAGTATAAAAATACTATTTATTATCTTGTAGTTTTCACATTTCATGTCTTTATCTTTTCACATATAGTTCAATGGTTGGAAAATTTATTTTTCTTTCCCAGTGAATATAGTTGTAGGACTTTGAACATCACGTGTCAAATAGGACAGTCACATACACTTAGTGTCTGCATACTCATGTACATTGCCAGCTTATTAGGCTAGGAGTGAACCACTGCTAAATTTGAGATTTTTCATAGCATGTGGATCATGTTACACGAAAACTGCAGTTTAAGTGTTTTTTTTTATGTTTCCTTTGAAACAAAGGAATTATATGTTAAATAACATTAAAAATACAAATTATATCATACATTATAATGTTAATTTCATTGACATATATTGATAGAAAAGTGGTTTAATTAAATTTTGAATTTAACAAAGTACCATACGCAGAAAGGAATATAAAAATGGTGGCCATAGGGTTAAGTTGCTCATGGGTATACCTCATGAAACTTTTTGTGTTATTATTTATTTTACCTAATCTATACTTAACTAACCTAGAACGTTTCTTATTTTTACATTTTTATTTTGTTAGATAATGCTCCAAATAAGACAGAATAATAAAATGCAAAAAGCAGAATATGTCCCATAACTACTTCAATTTTTCTAGCTTTCTGACTGTGACTAGAGCCGTTAGAAATTCAGCTAAGCTTGTTGATGTGTTTCTCATGGGAATAAAGCTTGAACTGGAAGTCAGACTGACAATTCTTTGTATAAAAAACAATGTAATTTAATACATTGTTTCATAGAGT